GGGCTGAAAATTGAAGGCCAGCAGACTATATATGCATATATACATGCACACACATGTATATAACATATTATATAATTTTTATATTACAGGTCTTCTGCATATATATATATATATGCATATGTATGTATATGCTGAAGACCTGTAATGTGAAAGAATGTACAGACACAGTATTATGAGACAAAGAACCTTAAAAAATCCCACTTAGCTCATTTTGTGTTGACCATCTACTGCTGGGCATGGGACCTGGCCTTAAGTGTGGTTTGTATACTCAATGAGATCCCCTTGGAGAAAACTAATTTTTTTCTTTGCAGGTGGTTATCAATTGGAGATAGCTTCTGGGTTAGGGATGGGGGCTTGTGTCCAATTCTCTCAGTTGGGACCCCATGTGGCTTAGACCAATGCAGGCCCTGTGCATGCTGCTACAGTCTTGATAGCAGGCCTTTTAACCTGGATTTAGATCAGAATCCCACCATGCTGAGGTCATACTGGGTTTTGGTCTCAGTCATGGCCAGAAGTCTGAGCCCAGAGGGTAATGGGAGAGCTGGGTGGATCTGTTAATTCTGTTTTATGCTGGAGTGGAACAGGCAGTTTTCTGATCACTAGAACCTTCTCCTGTACATTCAGGAGACATTTTGATGGTGGCATGTGCTTAGGTCCATTACTCAGGAGTGATGCAAGGGAACCTATCTGTTCAGGTGACAGCCCAAGGTCAGAGAAAACTCTGCTAGGCTCAGACTGAGGTCCCAGAAAGCTGTAACCCTGCCCTGGCAGTTGTCACACTGAATATGAATAGTAAGCACCACATGACCTCCCAGAGCCAGGCCAAGTGTCCTGGAAGGATAGAGGTCTTGGTTGATGCATCTGGATTGTCCATGGCAGGGCAGGAAAGGTCAGGGCTGAATGAGTCATTGAGTACAGCAGCGAGTGAGCATATTCACTGCAGTATGCCAGGGAGCAAGCTCCACCCTCCAATGTCTAGAAACCATCAAACCTAGAGGCTAGGCCAGTCACTTTGCCTTCTCTGGTCCTTGATTCCATCCCCTGTCAGCTTAGACTGGGTCTGAAATTAGGGCCTCAGGAGCCATACCAGGTTGTAATGTGTTTTGTTTGGCCAGCATTAAAATGTAAAATTAAAAAATCTGAATTCATTTAGGTTGGGCACAGTGCTATCCAGTGGTCCACAGGAGCATCCCCTGCTAGCACGTGTGTCCTGTCCACTCTCTGTGTGTGAGAGACCTGTTAGCTCAAGGACGCTTGGTTTGCTATCCCTAGCATAGGAAGTCTCTGGAACTCACTTGCTCTGATGTGCTAACATCTTATTAAAGGAAGAGGGCTAAGTAAATGGAACGAAACAAGATAAAGGAAGCAGAGGGGAAAAAAGGGAAAGGAGAAAGTGGGGAATGACAGTAGGCAGGGGGAAAAATCAGCAAGAAAGATGTTCCATCTCAAAGAGTCACTCCAGCCGCCCTTTGAATCAAAAACAAATCCACGGCCACTTAGGAGAAAATGGAATCAATAGGCAGATACTGGGAGAGACTGCCATTCCCGAGTGTCCAGGCACAGCCAGAATGCCTGGCCATGACTGAGTCCAGGGATGCACCCACCTCCGCTCTTGTAAGCAAAAAGACTTGACCTCAAGGGCAGCAGCCCCCTCAGATATTGCCCTAGGAAACAGCAGCTCACCTGGCCACAGCTGTCCTCAAGTCTCCACACCCCGAGCCCACGGAGAGCAGGAGGCTGGCCGCTGTGGCGGCGTTGGCCATGGTGCTGAATTATTAATGCGCATTTCAGTTATCCTTCGCTTCAGCAGAAATATGACAAAGCAATCCCAGATAATGAAATCAGCCACATTTCTGCTGTTCACAGCAGGTTTTCAGGGGGCAAATTTTGCCCCCACAGTCATGGTGCTGATTGAGTTACATGTTTGTGGGTGGGAGCATGACTGTCCGTGTTATCGATTGGTATGTAGTACATAGATTAGAAGGACCTGAGGCCCTTTATTACAGTGGGTCAGTGACTGTTCATAGCCAGATGGTAAGGGGGGGGGACTCTGCAGAACCAGCAGCTGTCATTTCTGAGAGGGACTCTGGGGAGCGGCAGGAGGCCACACAGCCTTAGTCCAACCTGACAAATCTTTACCATCCCTGCATCTATCTGTCACGGAAGCGTCACACTTTCAATGACATCTGGGCTTGTGGAGGTGCTTTGATATAAGGAATGAGATTTGAGATCCCACAGCTCTCCCACTCTCCCTTCCTCTCTGCCACCCTCACCCCTCTTGGCTATGTAGTATTAATTTTTCCCCCAAAATTCAAGTAACTAGAAACTAAAGTTATATTCAATCATCCAGCAACTCCAGGGCCTCCATCCACAGATAGTAGACCTGTTACAGGCCAAGGAACACTCAGGCATGTGGACATGCTTTGTTTTCTCATACTGAACAAAATAACCTCCACGTGATTAAGATATCCACTTTAGCTGCCTATGCATTAAAATTAGAAATGTGACAGAATTCAGGGCCAGGGGTTTCTGACATATTATACCTGCAGAGCCCAAGCCCACAGATAAGGCAATTGTTAGGGTAGATTCCTAGTTGTTACTGCAATTTTCCCCAATGTTTTATACAGTGATGTTGAACACAGCCTCATAAAAAAGAAAGAAAGAAAAAAAAAGAAATAAATTCACCACTATATACAATTTCCTGATTTCTAGGTGCCAAGATGCAGCCCAAAGAACTTGACATATTTTGTCATAACTGTAATTGGGATTCACACAACAGCGTTTCTTAAGGCATTCATCTTCAAAGTGTTATTTCCTTTTGAAATGCTTCACCTGGGTCACGGGTCTTTCATTACTCCAATCTTAAACCTGCACAGGAAATAAGAACACTCCTATTCAAAGAATAGAAAATAGAAATCATTTCCGGTCTGTAGGACAGGAACAGTGACTAGGTTAATGTCACTCTGAGATGTGGGGTAGAATCAAGTTGACAGTAGTCGTGGGGTGGAGCAGACACTTTTGCTCAGACAAGCTTCTGTGGGCTAGCCTGTGGTGCTTGGCACCAATAGTGATCTAAGTGGTACTTGGGTAAAACTGTTAGCTAGTATTAGCTATTAGCTAATCATTAGCTATTGGGTAAAACTATCAGCTAGTATTTTAGTACTTGGTCACTGTGTGTTGTGCCATTCACATGGCGTTTGGGAATACTTTCAACTCATTTTCATCTCTTATCCAAGGGCACCTTTTTTTTGAGACAGGGTCTCATGTGGCTCATGCTGGCCTTGAAATTGCTGTGTAGCTGAGGATAAACTTGAATTCCTGCTCCTCCTACCTCAGCCTCCAATGTGCTGGGATTACTGTCGTGTACCACTATGCTTAGCTTAACCCAGGGTTTCTTGAACATTTCCACTCATGATCTACTTTCACCTGAGAAATTTTCATGTGACTCTGGGTATGTATCTAAAACAGGCATACAAATCAAATACTTGCTGACAATAAATCAAAGGAGATGTATTGTCAAATAATTAATGAAAGCTCATTTGTTTAGTGATGCATATGCTTCTTTATTTTCATGTAAAGAATTAAATCTTGGCTAAACAGTTTATACTGCAAGGCACAGAGCATCTTCAACATTTTTCAAGTTGATGGCTATTTTGATTTTATGAGTGTCAGTGCTGAGAATGTCACTTCACATAAATACATAGCACAAAATGACAGCAGTTTGTTTGGGGCCATTTCAGAAATGGTTGGAAATTTTGTCCTAATCTGGTCAAATTTCATTTAACATTTTAAAAAATAAAATTCAAGTCAGAAACCCAAACAGCATTCCCCCCGCGCCTCTCTCTCTCTCTCTCTCTCTCTCTCTCTCTCTCTCTCTCTCTCTCTCTCTCTCTCTCTCTCCCTCCCCCTCGGTGTGTGTGTGTCCGTGTGTGTGTGTGTGTGTGTGTGTGTGTGTGTGTGTGTGTGTGTGTGTGTGCACGCACACACAAGCACAAATGTTTTACTAGGAATTGAGCTCAGGGCTTTACTCATACTGGCAAGAACTCTACCACTGAAATATCTCCCTATTTTCACATTTTTATTTTAAGACAGAGTCTCACTAAGTTTCCCAGGCTGACCTTGAACTTATGCTGTAGTTTAGGCAGGCCTCAACTTCCTGAATGGTGAGATTTTAAGTCTATACCACCATGCCAGACTCAAACAGTAAGTTTTCAAATCAAACATTCTGTCATAATGCAATCCAAAGAGACACCAATTTGATACCTACATGCTAAGGAGTGATGGTAGGAAAATATTAAAAGTATTTGTTTTCTGTAATTAAACCATTATGTTTGAGAGCATAAAACTTTTTATGTGCAGCAGAAGTATTGCAATTCATAGCATAGAGCGGCCTGGAATTTGAGCCCAGGTGTTCAAGAAGTGTTTGTTGACGTTGCATGGAGTGATAGCATGCACACAGTATGAAGTGAGCATGTTGTGTGTTCAGAACCAAGGCTGCAGTGAAGTCTTGAGATGCAACATGAGTGAACTTACTGTTGCCAAATATTAAAAATTGTTACATTTGATTACTGTGTGAGTGTAAATATGTATGCGTGTATGTGTGTGGGCATCTGCACCACAGTGCATGTGTGAAAATCAAATGATAGATCTTTTTTTTTTTTTGAGATAAGGTCTCACTCTATGGCCCTTGCTGGACTAGAATTTGATATGTAGACCAGGTTGGCCTTGAACTTGAAGAAGTCCATTTGCCTCTGCCTCCCAAGTGCTGAGATTAAAGGTATGCACCACCACCACGCACTGCTCCTTCCAGACTGAGACTCAGGGATGGACCTCAGTCTTGGTGGCTAGCACCCTTCTCTGACAAGTCATCTAGCCATCCCTGTTTTTCATGATCCCTCCATTCAGTTGCATGTCTCTATCTGGGGTCATGATCTGCAGTTTTGGAAGCTGGTGACCATTTTGAGTATTTGTCACAGGGTTCTCTCCTTCTGTCTTCACAGGGCTCTAGGGCTATGGATGCCCTGTGCCACTAGCTTGGTCTCCAACACGTCTTCAAGAGGGGCTGAGCTGAGCAGTTGATCTTGAGGCCAGGTATGTAGGTTGCCATGACTTGCCCTACATCATGGCATATGCAGGTAAAATGATAATAAATACAGAAGCATCTCCTTAGGAAACTCAGAACCTGGGCTGGATGCAGTGGCACTCACTTGTAGCTCTCATGACGGGTGATGCTGAGGTAGTAAGATTGCTTGAATCCAGGACTTTGGACCCAGTTTGAGCAACATAGTCTTTTAGGGGAAAACAGATTAAAAACTCAGGACTGGACCATTGGCTCACTGACATTTGGTATCCTAAAAAGGGCTCTGGCAATGTCATCAGCACAGAGAAGACAAAATAGTAAGAGTCTCAAATAATTGGCACTAGACCACATCTCTCCCGGAGGGAGCTCACCCACTGGGGGACTTGTCCAGCCTTGACCTCAGGCAGATGGGCTCTGGCCCTTCTTAGCCCCATGGGAACCTGCTCTCTTTGCTAATCCTGCTCCCCAGCCTCCTGTGCCAGTCTCTGTGGACAAGGCTGGCAGGTCACATCCCTTGGCCAGCATGGTCCCTCTGGCTGCCTCTGGGTGGTGAGCCTCAGCTGGCCCCTCAGAAGCGCCTCGTCCCTTCCCGCTCCCTGCTGCTGCTCTTTATCTGTGACTCAGAGCATCTCTGGCTTTTATCTTCTCCCTATGAACATTATTGTCCAGTTCATCCTAAAATAGCCAGGCCCGGCCATCCCATAATACCTAGTCCCGGTCACTCAAAACAGAGCTGGCAGGGGCTCCGGGCTCTTCTGCCTGTCCCTTTCTCTCCCACAGTAAACACACCTCTGGCTCCAGTCAGTACTTCCTCCAGATTCATGAGTCGGCAGCGGCGGTGGCGGCGGCTTGTGCAGCAGCCCCAAATCCTGGCAGATAAATCTCTGTGGAGCTGTCAGCACAGACAGAGGGGAAGGGCTGGGCCGAGTCCTCAGAGAGACAACTGCAGACACCAGATTTATCACCCCACCTGTCCCTGGAGTGCCACCCTGACCTTCAGAATAGAGCAGAGGTCAGCGTGTGGGGCTTATAAATTAATTTAGTTATTGTTTTTATTGTTCTTATTTTTTGTTTGTTTTTGTTTTTTTCCTGTGAGAGACCTACATGCTAAAGGTGCTGCCTCCAGAGATCCTCTGTCCTTTGTCCTTGGTGACGATGAAAACTCTGTCCCCTTTGTCCTTGGTGACGATGAAGAGCCTGGTGTTGGAGCCACTTGGGAGGTGAGGGACACTATGGCTCCCTAAGGAAGGACTGAGTGTGCCACTGGCCTTGTGCAGAATTCTTGGCCATTGGAGGGGAATATGGATTGTAGCCTGTCCTGCAGGGTCACTCTGGGTTAATTTTAGCTCTTCCATGCCCATGGACGGACCACACATTTTTCCTCCTTAGCCATGTCCAAGGCTCTCATCTCGAGCAGCCTCAGCACCTTCCCAAGTGAGATTGAGACGTGTGCTTATGACAGCATATCTCCATGAAGACGGATCACTCTCCCTCCAAGGTCAAAGCTCCTGCTGGCCAGGCTCTTCGGCAAATGATTTCATCAAGCAGAGCAGTGCAGAGCAGACAGCCGCTCTCCGGCCTCTGGCCACTCCGCTCATCACAACCTTTCTGTGGATTCCTGTGCCCTGGGGAACTTTTCTCCTTCCGCTGTCTGTCTGTGCCTCCCCTGACATCCTCAGGCCCCGTCACAGAAGGATGAGTTGGCAAAATATCAGGAATGATGACAGGAGCCCAGAAGGCAAAACAAATCTTCCGATAAAAAAAAATTGGGAAATTTCTCAGTCCTTTTATGAGTCATGGTGCCTCATGAGTTCTTTTTTGTTTTGTTTTGTTTTGAACGGAACTGCAAAGACATTGCCTGCTGTGCCCGTCCATTCTCTGTCTGGCACAGACGATAATGAGGAGGGCCAGGCCTTTGTTTTCTTCTAGCCGAGGCCCATGGCTGCCACTCCTCATGAGTATGTTTGTAGCGTATTTGTTTCTAAGTTCCTGCTATTGACCTGGGTGTGGGACTATGAAAAAGTGAGATAAATAAGCAGGAAAAAAACAAACCGTGAAAGCCTTACAGAGGCCGTGCTAGTGGGAACCTTTAGCATGGCCTCGGGTGATTTCGCCACCTTGGTAGTCATGTCCTTCGGGAACATTCTCTCCCTTCAGCGTGGGATGGATGTACTTCTCGAGAACAAAATTTTGTGGCAAAAATGGTGGACAACACCACCAAGACAAGAAGAGTGACTGTGACTTGTCACCATTCTCACCTCGCTGATGGGAGCCCGCTGCTGTGAGTGTGAAGCCCTAGGAGAGCCCCCCCTCCCCCGTGAGGCAGCGAATGTCGGCGGCCAAGGCAGGGGAATCCCTGGGCCTGTGGCCAGCTACACCAGGGAGCTCAGAGAGATGACCACAGCCCCAGTCAATGCTTGGCTCCCTCCCGAGAGACACGAGCAAAGCCCAGTGGAGACAGGAGCCTCAGTCAAGCTGTGGTAGGATCCTTCGTCACCACAGAAACTGGATGCTATTTATTTATAAGTTATTTAATTCAGGGTGAAATTTTCATATTGGAATGAATTACCAATTGGAATTTTCTGATGAAGTCTTAAGACAAGTGACTTGAACAGAGTCTATTGCTCCTCCTGTTGGAAGACCAGACACCAGCAAAACTAGAGGAACAGTATCCTGACAAGGAGGGTAGCCTGGGTGCCAGGATGCTCAGTTAGAAGCCTTCGGCCGGGGAGGGAACCCACATGCTCTGCTTGCATTATTTACTTCCTATGTCTTATTCTTCAACTGAGCCTTGGAAAGTAGGCATTAGAACCCTGTCCCACTGTCAGGAGCACCAAGGCAGCTTTCAGTCACTAGTCAGGGTCACACAGCTGGGAAAGGGCAAGGTACAGATTCGAGCTGAGATTTTTCTCCATATAGATGTTGTGGACTGGTCTGCTTCCTGATATCACATGACTTTGTTGAGCCACTTAGCAGATGGCTGGTGCTTTCCTGCTCTGTTCTCAGGACTCACAGCACCTGAACGGCAGGAACTTGCATTCTGGCACTGAGAGCAGTGATCACTAACAGTTTCACTTGGCTTTTACTCATTTGAAGGCAACTTGGATTGGAGGAGTCTGTTATTACTGGTCCCATATGAAAGGGAAGCCCAGACATGAGAAATGGCTAGCTCCAGGGTGTTTCTGTAAGGGATACAGTGGAGGTGCTGAATTCTGGGGCTTGACGCGGATTCTCACCCTTCCTCAGCCAGTCTTGCTCTAGGATCCTGAACCTTTGTGAAAGCTGAGAATCCTTCCTGGAGTTAGTAGTCCATTTTCATAAGTCAGCTTTTGGGCAACCCTAGCTTTTATAAATCACTGTTGCTCAAGTTGGGGTGCATGCGTATATGAAAGTTCTCACCTAACAGCTGAGTGGGGAATATTTATGATGCATGAAAGTCTTTAACTTCACAGTTTCCACTATTAGCTTCATTTGAATAACTAGACTTTCTGGTTCATTACTCTTAAGAACTTGAGAGACAGGCGAAATTTGCAGGCCGTGTATGTCTCTCAAAGTGAGTGACTGATCTTCCAGCGTTTACTCAGTCTACTGCCATTTAGTCTTTGTTTAAACATGACTTCTTCAGAAAAGACTCGCCTGACTTTTGGTCCCGAATTAGGCATCCCCCATACACTCTCATGTAGCACTCTGTGACTGTCCATTTTGGTCCTGAACTAGCAGCCCCCACCCCCATACACTCTCCCGAAGCACTCTGTGGCTGTTTTAGCTCTGATGAGGATAGGTGAAAACAACTCCCTCAGTGGCTAAAGTGCCTGTCGTGCAAGTGTGAAAACTGAACTTCAGATTCCCAGAACCCACATGAATGCCTGGTGGACGTGGCAGCCCAACTGTTATTCCAGCCTTTAGAGGGTGATTCATGTCACTGGCTGGCTAGACTACTTATGCCAGCAAGCTTCAGGTTCAGTTGAGACCCTGCCTCAGATAATAAGGTAGAGAAGAAACGAAGAAGACTGTGTGCACATGCATGCAGGTGTACCTTTATACAGGTATAGTCACACACATGTGAATACACATGTTTGAAGGCACACCACATGTGATATACATGACCCCCCCCCCAAAAAAAAACCCCAGGGGCTTTTTATGGTGTGGTTTCTCTGATGGAGTCATACCTCAGATCTCCTGTGAGTTAATCTTTTTCCTGAGATGTCAGAGAGAGAACACAAGACTGCTTGCCCTCTGGAAGACCTCTAATGGTCCTTGATGGTTGGATAAAGGAACTTCAGAGAAAGTCCTTCCCTGAATTTTGCTTTGGAGAAAAGGAGGGTGGAGAGTTGGGAGTGGGCCCCAGGTAAGGTCAGAAAGATCTTGAGGCTGAGTTTTTAGTTGAAAGCAGCACTCAGCATGTCAAATGCCACCTTCAGCATTCATTTTGTGAGCCCCTGAAACAGTATTTTGGGATACGGTAGGGACTCCATTTTTAATTCTGTTGCATTAAAATGATGCTGTTTAATGGAGTTGGGTTGTAGGTCAGTAATAAAGCTTTTGCTTACTATACATTAAGTGCTGGGATTCAGTCTCTAGTATTTATTTGTAAAGAAATGATGCACTGACCCATCAGAAACTGTTATGGTTTGGATGCAAATGTTCCCCATGGGTTTGTACGTTGAAAGCCTGGTGCCTAATGCAATGTTCACAAATGAAGCTTTTAGGAAGTGATTGGATCATGGGGAGTCTGATCCATTAATGATGGATTCATAATTTAATATCATCCCCCTCTTTTCCTCTACCCCATTTTCCTTCCCCATTGCCCCCTCTCTCTTGTCATAGGCTTCTACCACCATCATGCTCCGTCTCCTCACAGACCCACAGTGGCGGATACTGGACAATCATTGCCTGACCACTCCAACACTATGAACCAAATGAAGTCTTCCACTTTCATGCATTTCTCTCAGGTGTTTGTCACAGCGATAGAAAGCTGACCAACATGAGCAGTCCCAGAGGATGGGAGGGACACCTTCAGATACCATCACACCGGGACAGTCTGGATGTAACAGCGACAACTGTGTAACTGTAGCTAACACTTATTAAGCATGAATATGTTTCCACATGATCGTTTTTAATATAGAATGCTTTGCAAATTTGTCTGTCTTCTGGGCACTGGTACTGTCTTAGTCAGGGTTACTATTGCTGTAATGAAACACCATGACCAAAGCAAGTTGCAGAGGAAAGGGTTTATTTGGCTTACACTTCCACATTGTAGTCTATCATTGAAGGAAGTCAGGATAGAAACTCTAACAGGGCAGGAACTTGAAGGCAGGAACTGATGCAGAGGCCATGGAGGGATGCTGCTTACTGGTTTGCTCCTCATGGCTTGCTCAACCTGCTTTCTTATAGAACCCAGGACCACCAGACCAGGGGTGACTCCACCCACAAAGGGCTTGGCCATTCCCCATCAATCACTAATTAAGAAAATGCCCTACAAGCGTGTCTGCAGCCTGATCTTACAGAGGTACTTTCTTAATTGAAGTTCCCTCCTATCAGATGACTTTAGCTTGTGTCAAGTTGATAGAACACTAGCTGGCACAGGGACCATGCTAATCTTTGTGTTGCTCCATTTTTAGCATGTGTGCTGTGGAAGGGAGACACCATAAGTTTTAAGTATATTGCATGGTAATTTCCAGACCTGACATAGAGACACTTGTTTTGCACACAGATTTTTTCACATGCAAATGACAGGGTGACTGAGCTGTCCCGGTTTACTGAAGATTGTCTAGTATTAAAACTGAAAGTGCAGCATTCTAGGGACAGTCCTTAAAGCTGAGTCAAATGGGGTGGTTAGTCATCAAGTGAGGGCTTGGGACTCAAGAAATGGGAAGCCTGAGAAAGGTGAAACAGGAAAACAGTGAGGAATCCAGGGACAATGCATTTTATGCTTGTATTTGGCAGGGGTGGATATACATGTCTGTCTGTCTGTCTGTCTGTCTATCTATGTGTCTGGGTTTGTGTGTGTGTTGTGTCTCTATGTGTACATGTGTCTATGTGTCTGAGTTTGTGTGTATGTCTCTGTGTGTGTGTCTGTGTGTGTGTGTGTCTTTGTGTCTCTATGTGTTTGGGCCTGTATGTGTGTGTCTGTGTGTGTGTATGTGTGTGTGTGTGTGTGTGTGTGTGTGTGCATGTGTGTCTGTGTCTATGTCTGGGTTTGTGTGTGTGTGTTTGCTGTGTCTGGGGGGGTGTTTGTATGCATGTGTGTCTATGTGTTTTTGTGTGTGTCTGTGTCTATGTCTGGGTTTGTGTGTGTGTGCTGTGTCTGTGGGGGGGTGTTTGTATGTATGTGTGTCTGTGCATTTGTGTGTGTGTCTGTGTGTATGTGGAGAGGAAGAAGGTGGTAAGCTAATTAATTAAAACAAGAAACAAGATTAGACTGTGTAGACCAGCAGGGGCTACCATAGGAGACGATGTCATTTGCTTCCGTTTGTCCTTGAGCTCTGCACGGTGTGGCAGCTATTTCAGGATATGCTGGCTGGATCCTTCCATCAGCACCTTCATTGGACTTACCCAGGTCCTCAACATGTCCCTTGTCAGGATTCCTGGCGGTCTGCTGGACACCATGAGTCCCAGGCTTTGGGGACACTAAACTCTAGAGCATGGGAAAAAGCACACAGTGGGGCTGAGTGCTAATCTCCCCAGGACCTTGTCTTAGACCTAAAGACTTCTCCAGGCAGGAAGGCTCAACCCTCAGCACCCTGCCCCGAGGAGATGTCACTGTGGGTTGCCCATGGGGCTCTGAGCTTGTCTTTCTGGGACTCACAGTTTCTTGAGTTAGTTTTGATCACTTGCAGCATTGGACGATGAAGGCTTTGTGGTTCTGATAGATGTTTCTAGACACAGGTACTCTTGGCTGCAGAAATACTCCATGACTCCAGGCAGCAAATAAAAAGAAGCTGAAAACCAAATTCTCAATGACCAATTCAGGGTCTTGAGGATGATGGGAAGTGGTGGAGTGGATTCCTGGATATAACAAAACATGTCATCATTCTCCCCCAGGAGCTCTCGGCTTTTAGAAGAATGTTTTGCCTAGAGAAGGAAGTGGAACCAAGAAAGACAGTCCTTCCTTCTTGGTTTCCCGAATTAAAGCCCCCCCCCCCTTATATATACACACATGTGTGAGCATGCTCATGCACCTGCACAGAATCTTTCTATATAGCCCAGGTAGACATTAAGCTCCTCTTGCCTCTGGCTCCCAAGTGCTGGAATTACTAGCATGTACTCCTACCCTCAGATCTTTTGTTTCAAAACTGACAAATTGTACGTGTGTGTATTTAGAGAGTGCCAAATGCTGCTATGATACAATATAGGATGGTTTAATCAGGGCTATTAACATATTTATCTCAAATTTCTATTTCTTTTACCAGAATGTTTGAAGTTTAAATTGAAATATTCAGCTTTTTGCTAAACATACTGTCATCTGGAAAAAAGAGAAACCAAAGACGAACCCCCGCCCTGCTCCTGTCTGAGGAGGTGCCTCCTCCTCCCCTCCCCCAGTTTCTGGCCCCTTCCTCTCTGCATCTGTGAGTACAGTTGTGGACTCCACAGGTATAATAGGAATAGACAGTACATCTTTCTGTGTTGGGCTTATTTCATTCAGACAGGGTTCTCCAGTCCCGTCTATATTGTTGCAAATTGACAGACTATCTTCCTCATTTTCAAAATGTTAATTGTACAAAGCCATAGGTTTTATAATAGTTCCATCCATGTGTGTCATGTACTTTCATCATATTCACCCCCTCCCACCCCCACCACACCTGCTTGCTCTGTTACAACCCTGATAGTACTTTCATGACCTCTTACAAACCACACATGAGGGAAAACACACGCCCCTTGTCCTTCAGTGTCTGACTTATTTCCCTTAACACAATGATCTCTAGTTCTATCAAATTTCCTGGAAACATTGTTTTTTCTTTATGACAGAAAAGCACTCCATTGTGTGTATATGCACCCTATTTTCTTCATTCCTTTATCTGTTGATGGGCCTTTAGGTTGATTTTGTAACTTGCTATTGTGAGTAGAGCGGCAATGAACAGGGAGGGGTGTGCAAGCATCATTTGAAAACTGCTTCTTTTTCAAAGACTGAAGAGTACCCCATTGTGCACACAACACATTTCCTTTATAATTGATCCCTTGATGGGCACTTAGGTTGATTTTATAGCTCCGCTAACTGTGTCTAATGCTGCAGCCAACATGGGAATCCAGCCTTCAACACAATGATTTCAAATCTGCATCCCTTCATCATTTCTGTTTATTCACTTGCTGACTCATTATTTTTACATATTCACGGGCACACACTGTCTTTCAGCTATGTTCGTATCTCCGCTCACTCTTGTATGTTTTCACCATGTGTTCTAGGCTCTGAGTGGCCTCTGCATCAGGGAGTGCTTCCTCCATCAGGATGACAGAACCCCAGTCTGGCACACAGACAGCATTTGGACTTGTGTACTGCGTCATCTATTCGGGAACACAGCCCACTGCAACTCCACGAAAGTCCTAGACATTCCATCGAAAGTCTATGGTCCTTTTGGCCATCCCATTGGGGCGTGGGGAGCAGGCCCTGTAAGATGGTCTGTTCCCAAATTGGGTGATCTCCTGGCTGAGGATATGGGGGAAATCGACTCAACAATTCTTATTTGCAAAGGTAATGACAGAGGCAGATGGGGGTCTGATTTTACAGGCTGCACTATTTAGAGAGCCCCAGGATTGGGAGGCTCCAGAAAGAATTTTATTTCTCCCAGATTTCTCAAAGCAACCCTATGGGAAATCAACCAGAGGGAAGCTTTTAGGGACCACACACACACACACACACACACACACACACACACACACACACACAAACACACACGCACAATTCCAAGGACATCTTGCCCAGGCTGGTGCCCAGTCTGCTATACTCTGCTGAGCCCTCAGCCCTGCTGACAACTGGTCTTGGATGAGGCACTGTGAGCCAACACTTTAGTGGGAGAAAAGGCAACAGCTCTGCCCATTGTTGGTGCACCAGAAAGTAACAGAAAACACAAAACCAGCCAGCACTGTCTGCCATTTGCAAAGGACACATTGTCACCTCACTCAAGCTAAGCGGGGAGGTGGAACTCCATTACTTTCACTCACAAATGGGAAGAGTCAACCCATGGATTCGTTACATTTCTATTGGCTGTGAGGAAACACTATGACCAAGGCAGCTAATAGAAGGAAGTGTTTAATCGGGCTTATGGCTCCAGAGGTTTAGAGTCCATGATGATGGAGCAAAGGCTGCAAGAACAGCTGAGTGCCCACATGTCAAACTGCAAACAGAAAGTAGAGGAAGCACTCTGGGAATAGCATGAGTCTTTTGAAACCTTAAAGCCCACAGCCAGTGACGTGTGCCTCCTTCAGACTAAGTCACACCTCCTAATTTTTCCCAAACAGTCCCACCAATGGCAGACCAAGTATTCAAACATATGAGACTATGGAGGGCATTCTCACTTAATCCATCAACCCCATTAAAGAGAGTAGAGCCAGGGTTTGAACCCAGGTCTCTTTGATTCCAAATGTGTGTGGGTGTTCATGGACACAGAGCCAAGCCTGTCACAACTGCAGGCCCAGTGATGGCTGTCTTGGAGGCACTTTGGTAATAGGGAGAGGGTACTGTGGCCATGATTAGCCAGAGATGTCTTCTTGTAGGAAGCTTGGGCTTATGGAGTCTGAACTAGACCTGAATTTACCCTTCCTCTTTCCTCCAGCAGCCTTAGAAGCAGAAATGTTTCCACCTCAGCCCTCCCTGCTGCCTGGGGAAGAGGAAACTGATCTTTTATTCCTCAGAAACACTGAAGCCAAGGCATGAGACCCAAATGGCCTAGGGAATGTAATTGGTGCAGCTTTGTCTAAGAAGAGAAAGAACTGGCCTCGGTCTTCTCTGTGGGTAAACATAATTAGCCTGGATAACAGACCAAACCCTCCTTCAGCTCCGACCCTCCACAGCTAAGGGACCTGCTGGCTTTTGGCAACTCTCAGAACCCAGGACCTTTGCTGGGGCCACAGCAATTTGATTTATCTAGGAAACAAGGCAACATTATAAGGAAAGGTTTACAATTTCAATATGCAGAGATTAATTTACATGCAGAGCTAATTAGGCAAGCGAAACACCCATGAATTGATTATTATATGAAAAAGAACACATCTATTTGGAGAAATGTGCTCTATAAGGTTGTACAGTATTTGCAAACTTAATTGCCAAGTGGAAATTCCCCTTCTAGTGGTTAAGAAATTTAAGCAATTAGCCTTTGCTGGCAGGGCCTTTCAGTCCTCACACAGCACAGGGAAGTTCTGGGCTCTGCCTTTGCAAGGGACATCTGGAAAAGAACCCAGCACTTTGGGCCCCACTTCAGCCCCAGCCTGGCTCACAGGTCTGTGAACCAAGGCTCCACGTCTGCATGGCCAGTTCTTACATTTTTTTTTCCTATTACAAGAACTTGGCAATTATGACTTTCCTATAAGACACGGTTATATTCTCTAACCATAGGCTTTGTGGCGTTCATGGAATTGTATCAGCTCACTCAAAGTCACAGTGCTAAGGGTGGAGTCGGGCCTTGAGCCCCAGTCTCCTGTCTTTTCTCCAGAGCTAAAGCATCTATTTACTGATTTCCTTTTCTGCTCTTTCCTGTGTCACTGAACAAGCTGACAATGTGTATAGCTAGAACAGACAAGCATCCATGACCTGGGGTGTACTGGGTACACACACACACACACACACACACACACACACACACACACACACACACACAGAGAGAGAGAGAGAGAGAGAGAGAGAGAGAGAGAGAGAGAAGACCAGCCAACCAAAAGAGTGTCTTGTAAGATTCTTGATGCCAACTTCCACGACTCTCTCATCCATTAACCCGCCTACTATCTCTCTAACCTGCTCTGAACTTTAGTATGGGTTTTCTTTCTCCTTGTGGACTACTTTCCACTCCGTGTGGAAGAAATGGGCACAGCTCACATGGTGCAGGCCTTCCAGAGAGAATCTGTTCTTTCTCACTACAAGCCTCAGTTCCGAGGGTGGGGATGGATTCTGATCGCTTTATTCTGGGTGGGGTAATTTGTGTCCAATCGTCTGTAAGTTGAGCAATGTGTGCGGCTGCAAACATGGCTGCTGTGGCCTGAGGGAAGGAGAGAGAATCAGTTCCCAGAAGTGGGGATGGGATCAGTCAGCCCAGGAGCTCAGCACAGAGACCAACAGACTGTCTGGACATCTTGCACTCTGGGAGAGGAGGCGGCACTGAGGCAGGCTGAGGGCTCGGCCCGGCACGGAAGGCCTGACTGCTGAACCGAATAAAGCCTCAGGATAGTTAAGTAGTCACCGCACTGGGCCTCAGCTTCTCCAGAGGGAAGGCGGGAATTCTGCAGTAATGTCACGTGGGGTGCGCAGGAAGGAGCTTGTTGGAGGGTCTGGCAGAGTTCCTCCTCCATGGTGACCAGTTTTCTACAGCTCCATCAGGCAGTCCTGGGACCTGAGAATCCAATGGGATCCTTTCTGGAGGGAAGCCTGCGAACCTTCTGCAGAGTGCCCTTCACCGACAGCAGGCCTTTGGCACTCACCCGCCCAGGCCTCAGACACCATGGAGAGCTGTAGCTCCCAACCACAGTCTAGTTCAGCTCAGGCTTCAGAACGAACTGCCTCTGCCAGAGTTCTGAGGACAGCTGGAAGCCTGGCAGAGGCCATTCCCAGAATTCTGTGGGTGGGTTTATAGCCCTGTGGACTCAGGCTGGCAGATTGGCCTGTCTCTCCTCACATGGCAGGTGTAAATTTTTCTTGGGAAATGGAGCCTGGCCGTTTGCTGCGATCATCGCCCGGGATCATTGTGCAGAGGAGGGCGGCTGTTCTTACCTTAGCTGCCAGTTAGTCACCTCACAGCGGACCCCAGCCTTTTCTTCTTCTCTGGGTCTTGAAGAAGCAAAACCTTGAAAGATATTTCTGACTTAAAAAAAAAAATTTTAGTCTCTCCTTCTCTCCCCCCCACCCCACCGTCTCCCCCACTGTGTGTGTGTGTGTGTGTGTGTGTGTGTGTGTGTGTGTGTGTGTGTGTGTGTGTGTAGGCACATGCTTGCCACAGCACATGTGTAGAGTTCAGAGGGCAACCTTCAAAGTCTGGCTTTCTACTTCATTTGAGTTAGGGTTTCTTAGCTGCTGCACACACCAGGCTAACGGGCTTTTGTCTTCTGGAAATTGTTCTGTCCCTGCCTCCACACTGGGACACACTGGGACTACAGTATGATGATTGAGTGTCCAGATTTTTCATGAGTTCTGGGGATCCAAACTGAGGGTATCAGGTTTCTAAGGCAAGTGCCTTGTTCTCTGGGCTATCTCACTAGCCCCAGCTTCTTCCTTAACCCAAAGCCCAGTTATTCTCTAGAGCAAAGTTCTCAACCTTCCTCATGCTGCAACCCTTTAATATGGTTGTTCATGTCGTCGTGACCCCCAACCATAAAATTATTTTGATTGCTACTTCATAACTGTCATTTTGCTATGGCTATGAATCAAGGTAAATATCTGCCGTGCAGGATATCTGATATGCAACCCCTGTGAAAGGGTCACTTGACCCCCAAAGGGGTTGTGACCCACAGGTTAAGAACCACTGCTCTAGAGCAATTCTCTTTGGTCTCTGTCTCTGTCTCTGTCTCTCTCCCTCTCTCCCTGATGATTTGTCCCCATTGCCATTGCCCTGCCCAGGACACAGGTGTCCCTCTTCCACATTGCTACATCATACTTGTAACTGTTTCCTCTGCCTTTCATTTTCTCCCCAATTCAATTGTTTTACTCCCTTGACCAAACCTGTTGTGGGAACTATTGTGAGAGGCTGATTTAGAAGTCTTTCTGAGCACTTCAGGGTACGGAGAGCCTCTGTTGTGCAAACTGTTGTGAGAGGCTGATTTAGAAGTCTTTCTGAGCACTTCGGGGTACGGAGAGCCTCTGATGGTGAGGATCAAAAGTGATTCAGCAGTTCTAGAAAATAGCTGGACAGTTTCCTGAAAAGTTAAATGTGCATTTAACACACGACCCAACATTCTTACTCCTGTGTGCTTAGAGAGACTAAACACTCATGCTCAGACACAGATTTACATACAACTCAATGAATCATTGTCCCCGGCTTGCAGCAAACCAAACGACTCCCATCAGGGAAATGCGTGAGCATCCATATAATTGGATACACTCCAGCAATAAAAAAATGAGTAACTATTGGCACAGGCTGCCACATGGTTAATTTTAATGTATCATGCTGACTGAAAGAACAGTCTCTACAAGGTTACATGGTGCAAGATTGCATTTATGTGACATTTACAGAAAGTAAAAACATAAAGCAGTGCTGGCAGATAGAGATCCTTAGGAGTGGAGGGAGCATGTGACCGTAGGTTAGGAGACTGGTCAGTACCCTGACTGTGGTGGTCCTTACCCAGATCTCTATATGTGCAAAAGCTCATAGAAATGCCCGATGAAAGCAGCGTTTTACTACTGGACAATCAGGAACATACTCTTCTTTGGGATGGCGTTGGGTGCCTGGTCTAGCTGCTTCCTCCCTCATCCCCGTCTTTGGTTTCTCTCCTCTTTTGAGCTCTAGAGACACCAAGTACTTACAGCACTTTGAGCATACTTTCCACTTTACTGTTCCGTTCCAGGTGACTGGTGCCAAGCTCACATTGCTGCCCAAACTCGAGTAAGTCGTTGGGAATGCTATCTTCTGTAACATCTTTGATTCTTAAAAAGCCAAATATAATACATCTCAATGCCTCTAGGATCTGGTCTCTGAACTCAAGGCTAGCATGTATCCCAAGGAGTCAGGGAGCAGGAGAAAGTTAGAGGTTTTCCCAGCTGAGTCCCACCGAGCTGCAGAGTCCTTGGTGGATGAGGCTCGAGGATCAGTGGCCTGTGAAAAATGAGGCCACATCTTCTCCTGCACACCATAATTACACCTTCCCCAGGGCTGGGGGTGTAGGATGGCAGGTATTTGAGATGGCGTGGAGGGTCATGACTACTCACCCTTGCTAATGCAGCAGGCCAGGGTTTTAATTCCATGGGGTCAGGATTCTGGTGGATGATTTCCCTGGTGAGCACTGCAAGGTGGATGGATAACTGCTTGGTAGGAGGAACAGGCTGAACCTGGGGGGCTGAGGAGAGAGAGACTGATACATGACAGGTCTCAACAAAACCCAGCAGTGCCCTCTGGGTGGGGCTACAAAAGCCACAGGGATGCCCGGGTCTAAGTGAGGCCTGGAGCGTTGGCCAGTGGCTTACATGTGAAACCGACCCCATGCTTCTTTTGCTCCTTAGAAAGATTGATGAGGGCTGGCGAGGTGGACAATAAGTCAGTCAAGGAGCTGAAAGCCTGAAGACCCGAGTTCAATCCCCTGGACTCCCCATGACTAAAGGAGAGAGAACCATCTCCCACAAGTTATAGTCTGATATCTACATGCGTGCTTACACACACACACACACACACACAGAGAGAGAGAGAGAGAGAGAGAGGGAGGGAGAGAGAGAGAGAGAGAGAGAGAGAGAGAGAGAGAGAGAGAGAGAAGAGCATTTCTGGATAATCTGCTGGCATGATGGGTACTATTTCTGAGGGGAAAAAAACTTGTATGAGCCGCCACATTGGCTTCTGGGATTGGAAACAGAGGAAGAATTTAGGCTTTGTTGAATGAAGCCTCTGGACGTCTGACTTTGGGTATGGCTGAGGGAGAAGGGTGTTGATTGGGGAGCCAGTTTGTGAGATATCTTTATTAGTAAGGAAGGGACAAGGTGTTCGCTGTGACAGCGGCTGCCGCCTGATGGGCACCCTGTAAACAGTGATGCCAAACAATGTCACGGATCTGCTCATGGGTCTGTGCGTCATGGAGTCTGTCAACTTGATAATCTAGAATCACCTGGGAGGGGGGCCTCTGAGCATGCCAGTGGGGAGTTGTCTTGATTGCAGGAAGGTGGGAACCATTCCTTGGACTGAGATCTTGAACTGTAGAAAGAGAGGAAATGAGCTGAACCCAAGCATTCGTCTTTCCTTGCTTACTGACTGAGGATGACATGTGACCAGCTGTCCCAATCTCCCTATGTTCTATGACTTCCCTGGCACAATGAACTGTAACCTCAACCTATACTTTAAAAAGATTTATTTATTTATTCATTCATTTTGGTTTTTCGAGACAGGGTTTCTCTGTGTAGTTTTGGTGCCTGTCCTGGATCTTGCTCTGTAGACCAGGCTGACCCCAAACTCACAGAGATCCGCCTGGCTCTGCCTCCCGAGTGCTGGGATTCAAGGCGTGCACCACCACCGCTCAGCTTAATTTATTTTTGAACTAATTATGTATATGTGAGGTGGGTATGTGGGTATGTGCACTTGAGTGTGGGTGCCCATAGACATCAAGGCATAGGATCCCCTGGAACTAGAATTATCGGAGGTTATGAGCCACCTGATGTGGGTGCTGAGAATTGTACTTGGGTCCTCAGGAAGAACAGCTCTTAACTTGGAGCCATCTCTCTGAGCCTTTGATTTATAACCTGTACCTTGATTTATATTTAACAAATATTTATTGAGCATCAGCTAGGTGGCAGGCACTGATGGCACAGATTTCGCAGTGAACTAAACATCACCAACACTCATGCTGTCCTAGGTTTAAAGCATAGTTGTTTATGGAAGTCAGTCAATGTACATGCACAGAACACATACACTATAGTAGGTTTGGGGAGATGGCCCAGTCAGCAAAGTGACTGGCATGAGAGCATGGTGACCTGGCTTTGATACCCAGAACCCATGTAAAAAACACGGACCGGTGCTGTGCACATGGAATCCCAGTACCGGGGAGGCAGGGACTAGCAGATCTCTTGGACTTGCTGGCCAGTGAGAGATCCTGTCTCAATCAACAATATGGGTAGTGTTCCTGAGGAGTGACAACCCAGGGTGCCCTCTGGTCTCTGCCTGAATGTACAGAGAGAGGGTGGGGGAGAAAGGAGGAGCAGAAGGAGAAGAAAACAATAAAGGGAATGTTGTCATAGAGACTATCGGGGATAGAGCAGGGAAGGGGACAGTGTCTTCAGGGCCATTGGCTGTGGGACTGTCATTAGAACATATCCAACACAGCAGGAAATTTGAAGGTGCGGAAGAGCCCAGTGTTCCGGCAAATGCTAGGTTGTACTGTAGAAGAGCTAACCCAAAGTGGCTGAGGGATTCCTCCAACAGGACCAAAGGGGGATGCTGTAGGAATTTACTCTGTTTGCTCCTCAATAAAACATGAAAGTGGACAGGAAGCAGACAGGACACAAGAAAGCAAGACTACTGATCAGTCTTCTGCAAAGCAGGAAAAACCCCCAGTCCAACCACAAACATAGACCTCCGGTGTCAGCTGTGTTCATCATCACTAAATGGATGTTTACATTCAGGGGGTTCTGGCTTTCCATTAAACAGGACTATTGGAGATTTAATGCCATCTGGTGTATGACAGGCCCAGGACAAAATGAGAACAAGAAGACCCTAGTTGTTCAATCCAGGTTTCATCTAGGGAACCCTCTGATCCAATATTTTGTTGTTTTTAGACAACGTCTTACTATGTATTCCTGATCTGCTTGGAACTTGATATGTGGTCCAGGCTGTCCTCAAACTCAGATCCACCTGCCTCTGCCTCTTGAAGCTAGGATCAGTGGTCACCATGTCCAGCTTCCTATGATGCAACTTTTAAAAATGATCTCAATGGCAAAACATTCAGGTAAGAAATAGCAGAGAATTCTGTCTGTGGTGGTGTGAATGAACACGGCCCTCACAGGCTAATAGAGAGTGGCATTATTTGAAAGGATTAGGACATGTGACCTTATTAGTTTGGTGTGGCCTTGTTGGAGGAAGTGTGTCACTGGGGCTGGGCTTTAAGGTTTCAGAAACTCAAGCCAGGCCTAGTGACTCTCTCTCTTCCTACTGTTTGCCAATCCAGATGTAGAACTCCCAGCTGCCTCTCCAGCGCCATGTCTGCCTGTGTGCAGTCATGCTTCTCAGCATGA